ATTTTGTGGATATCCAATATATCCACAGGATATCATAAATCTCCCGCGGATCTAATATGGATATCCAAATGTCCGTCTATGTCCAGGATATAGAAGATATCCTATGGATATCCAGCCAAATATCTAATGGGTATTTCCAGACAATACACGAAATCCCAGATATATCCACAGAATATCATAGATATTCACTGGATCTAATATGGATATCCAAATGTCCATCTATATCCAGGATATAAAAGATATTCTATGGATATCTAGCAAAATATCTAATAGGTACCTTAAGTAGAGGTTCATAAGTAACCAATGGATATATCCTATAGATGTTTAACATATCCAGTGTACATCCATTATTTGATATATTTAAGATAACCAAATTTATATATCTATAGGGTGTCGTATTTAATGCTTCATTAATTTTTTTTTTAAAGATAAGTATTTTCCACTTTCAGTAAAACTCATATTTTTTGACAAACCTCGTATACCACTGAAAAAAATTGATATTTGATGAATGTATTCTAGGTTTTAGATAATGCAGAACTTTTTATGAAGAATAACTTTTTTTCCTAAAATAAATAATAATGTTTTCCATATGATTCCAACTTAGGGGGACATACTGTATATTATACTTATTAATCTAAAGTCTAAACTGTTGGTCCAGCTAAACATAATATGAACACGAAGAAGATAGAAATGTTGATATTCATTTTGATACCAAATAATTTTGGTCTACATTTAAGTTTTTGTGTTATTATATATTAGGTATATTAAAATAAGCATGACGTGTTTTTTCCAAAACAACAAAATAAAGAAAATTGTAACATAATTTTCAAGAAAAATTGATAATTTTGGCAGCACAGCACGATAATTTTTTGATCGGCTGGTGGCAACACTAAAAAGCATGCTCACACTAGCACTTTTACGGTAGGTACTTACCCCGAAAGTTGCTCTGAAACTTTCTATAGATGTTATAATGCGAATTCATTCTACAGTATTATACAGTGTATCCACGGATGGACTTAACAATACTTGTAAAAATATTTATTTTAAATTTAAAAGTACTTCTTCATAATTTCTTTAGCTTGTTAAATAAATACGATTACGTTGAGAAATTATGAAAAAGACCTCTTTTGAAAAATTTAAAACAAATATCTTTACAAGTATAGTTATGTCCATTCTTGGATAAACTATATTCAAAATAGTTATATTGAGGATATAGTAAAATCTGAAGAAAACAAAATATAAAAATTGTATAAATTTATTATTAAAAAGCTTTTGAAATCAAGTACCAATATCATACAAGTAGAGGTAGGTATTAATAATATAGGTTACGCAATTACACATGTGTGATACCATAAGGTAACTATAAAACACTGACAAATTGGACAAAAGTAGGTATAAAAGGTATATAAGGAATATCTCAAAGGTTCACTAGAATCGAAAACACTGAACGCTTGCACGAAAGAGTATAAACAGGTACCTATATTGCAAAGGTAGCTAACTAAAATGGTGAACGATTGTATAAAAGTAGTAAAAAGTGTATTTATATAAGGTATATTTCAAAGGTGACTAGATTTTTATTAAGATGGGAGTTGTACGATGCGAAAAAAAGATATTTGCCTACAACTGGTACTGATCATAGTTTTAATACGATATAATTTGATTAAACTGAATATCGATAAATGTAAAGTCATAAGGTTTAATAAAACAGCTAATATCATTATTCATGATTATGTCATTGCAGGTTCTGAACTAAGTGTTGAGCAAACTATAAATGATCTTGGTGTTATTTTTCACAGGGGCCTATCGTTTATTCCTCATTTTATTAGATTCCTTGTTCCTGCCAAACTTACTAGGCAGATTAAACTATTTTATGTAAATACGCATAGAACTAACTATGGACAGAATTTATTTGTAGACCGATTGATGTCCAATTACAATAAGAGTCGACTTTCATTACACTATTGACTTCATTTTAATTCTATGACAATTTTATTAATTTCTTTTTTATTTTAATTGATATTTTAAATGTACCTTTTAGAACTTTATGTATCTGTAGCGTACTAACCAAATAGATAAGTAAACTTAATTTTATAGTTTCTTCCGTAAAAATAACTTTGTAGATAATAAATTTACTTGTTTATTAAAGAAAATAATATGTATAAAGAAAATGAAAAATATGCTCGTTTAAATCGTTGCACCTATTTTTAGTTGATTTTTACTTACTTTGTTTTTTAAATAAATAATAACTGCACCTATTTTAGAAGATTTTTACTTACTTTGTTTTTCTAAATAAATAATAACCTTTATTTTGATTTTTACAAATTTGATACTTAATGGATGTTCAACTTATACAGAACAATGCTTTTTAGCCTGATATTCTGCTATGAAAGAAAAATAAATAATTTCAGATGTTATATATTCTTCTTCAACCAATTTTGTATTATTAACTTTAGCTTCTAAAATTCCTGAGATTTTTGCTAGAATTATAATCCAGTACAAAGGAAACCTACAACACAATATTTTTAAAATTTATTTTTAGTTATTAAAATATTATTACACTAGGGCGACCATACTTACAGCAATTTTGCTGTATTGTAATGCATTTTTAAAGTTTATCCAGCAATTGGTATTGTGCAGCAAACGTACAGCAAAACAAAAAAACAGTGGTAACGCTTAATCATATTACCAAGTTTCACCACATGTGAAAACTAAAATATTTCGGAACAAATATTTGAACAAACCTTATTATTCCTGACTACATACATAGCGATACTATACTTGCTTCTAAGTATGAATATGGCGATAGTATTGGTAATTCAGTATCAGTGCCTAAATATCGATACTTTCATTGTTTATTATCATTACTTCTATATTATTGAGACATCAATAAGATCCCTATTATCGTGTAAAATATAGGCAGTTATTTAATTGTATTTACTCGTTTACAATGATTTATTTTTTATTGCACGGAAAAAACAAAGCCAAATAAATTATTTACTTGAAAACAAAAAATACAATTGCCATAGTTATTTTATTAACTATATCAATAAATAAATCAATTATCATAAGTAAAAGTATGTTTCTAAACACGCATTTCTGTCACAAGTAAACAAGTCTCCTAAAATGATGTTTTTTAATAACCCCCAATAAACAGTTAACTTAGGCACCACTTTGCCTACGACAAATGAATAATGTTTCTGAAACTGCTTTAATAACCACAGAATCACATATATTTATCATTAGTTAACTTTTACTTATGGTTAAAAAAATTTCACTTACGGCTAGCGAACGCTTTAATACAGTAAGTTCCAATCACCACCGAAACAGCAACGAAGTAAGAGTCGATTAATCCGATTTCATTTTTGTATTGTCTTTCCTACCGGACGGTCACAGCTCATAGGGAAGCTTAAGTCGAGGTCATACACCTTTTCCACAGAATGCTATGTAGCGTATAGGGTTTTTGCGATAAGTGTACGTATAAATCAAAGTATTCAATATTTATTCATGAGTGTATTAAAAACTGTGTTATTTTAAGTATAATAATAATACTATGCCTATGCACCCCTTTACGAGTGAATTTTAACCCCAGAAACAGAGTTTGTGCAGGGTAAGGACGGCAATTAATATTATTGTCATTATTATTATTATTATGTAAGTACCTTATATATTTTTTGATACATCAATCGTGTATTTTTGACTGTGATATTTTTTAATCTCTATATATTGTCCCTATTCATATTTTTGTAAAAGTTATTGATATTATTTTAAAACACTTGAGTACTCAAATTTTTATAAATGTCATTCGTTCCTATAGCCTATTAAGGTAACAATAAGGTTTATGAAATATAATACTTTCTACATAATAATATTAATGATAAATAATGTTTTAAAGTCTATAAATAATGCAGGATCATAAATACATATATACTACCCACTAAAACAAAATTCACTTATCACAAGAAAACAGTTAACTAGCGGCAAATAAACCGAAACCAATTAGTAGCATAAAGTTTACCTATAGTAAGAAACTAATGTACACTAACCACAAGTAAATAGTTCACTAACTGTAGGTCGTCTAAAAACTAATTGAACTGTTTACTAACCACAGGTGACTAATTTCAGAAATCTTGTTTTACTTACTATAATTAAACATTTTACCTGTCCCATATAGTATACAACTTTTTATTTGCTGTAAGTAAAAGTTCGCTAACGCTTAGTTAATTTTTTTTCCGTGTGTAGTTGGAAACTGAAATATTGCAATCTAAAACAACAGACAATAAATTGAAAAGAAGAAAAGAACTTACCAAACTTACTCAAACGTATAGTTTACAATTTCTTTCAAATCTCAAATACATACAAGAAAAAGTGACAAGTGACATTTTTTTTATGTTTTGTTGGTTATGACAAACGAATGGCTACGTTCGAAAATAAGATGATGTTCATAGTACTTCTCGTTGATACTTTTTTAGCAAGTTACTTTATTACGTTGTGTTATCATAACAGGCAGGTTAAATGATGTTTCGCGAGGTTCTGATTTCCCTCAACAACTTCTCATGACGTTGCAATTACGTTGTACGGTAATGTTATTACATTCACTTAAAACAACATCGCCAAAAGGCTTGGCAACGTTATGTGCTAGCTGGGTAGCGTCTCTGTTATTTGAAATGCCCATTTTTGAAAATAAGTACTATCAAGTTAACTTTGAAGACATTAACATCTCACGTTATCAGAACATGCAACATTTCTTCAACTGCTATACTTTTGGTCAGTAGCATGTAAATAATATTTGGCAATATTGCAAGATAGCATACGGTGCATATGGTAATCTGGCTGCATTTAACACTATACCAATTTTTGATACATGTGAAACTATAGCATATCACGTAAAATACAAAACCACATAAATTAATCAGGAATTTGTATTGCTCCTCTATTCTCTATAATTTATCAATCACGGTTAAAATGTATTGATCAGTAATTTGAATTATGTATTTTTACAGATTATGCTTGGGAAGTTATAAAAGAATTTGCAGAGGAATTATTGGACTCCCAATCTGTGGAAAAAGAAAGGGTAAGCTTTATTTTTTGCTATTAAAGATGAATGTACCGATTCATAAACATCAATAAGTAAATTTTATAGGTAAAGAAAACCAACAAAATAATTATTTATTTTAAAAAAGTCGAGCGATGTACAAGATGAGTCATACCTAATGAGACAAACAGTAAGAGCAGGTATTTGGACCAAAATATGAGGATTATACTAAACAAGTCTTAATTAAATTTCCGTGTTAAAGTTATTTTTTTTATAATAATTTCACAATATATTCAAAAATCTTTAACAAAATTGACAAAGAGGCATAACTATATATATATAGGCAATAAATATACATTTTTATTTATTATATTACATTTCGTTACAGGGGACGCCACATATTATGCGATTCCTGATGAATAAATTGGGTCATATCTTCTTTTAAAGAAACTTTCTAGTAATTTTGATTAGAAAACAAATGATATGAACATAATTTTTATGTAAAATTGTTATACTCGCTTAAATTTGATAATTTCAACCGTTTTAGAGAACAACGCAATTGAACATTGCAGAGTCTCAAAAAGAGATTTTATATAGTATTTCAGATGTCTTAATAATTATACTGAGTTTCTAATTTTGGAGACATATAAATTTCGTTACAAAATAAACTCTGAGAAAAAATGCAAGATGCAACTAATATTTTCTATGTCAGTAAGTTTTTCATGAAAACAAATCGGAAAAGGCGTAGAAGTATAACGTAAAACATTTAAATTTTGGTTTGTTATTTTTATTAGGGTGTTTTATTATTCGGAGTAATAAACTTGCAGGGCCGACGAAAGAGGGGGTAGCCGGGACAAATTTCTGGGGCCCGGGCACAAGTGGTGGCCCGGCAGCTTTAGGTGAGCACGTTTTATTTTTTTAGAAGTTCGCCACAAAAGGGAGGAGCGCTGGTTTATGTAAAATACAATATGAGGACTTTTTTTTTATTTTTTTTTTTTTTAGAGATTTCACTAAAACGGATCCAAGTTTTTGCTTGAGGACTTTTATTTTAGAAAAGTGATATTAAAAGGACTTAATGTTTTTTGGAAAATTATCCTGGAGCCCCACCTGGCTCTCGGCGGCCCTGTAAGTTTGTCCTAATAGGTATGACTCACTCTGTATATTATTTTAAATAATAAACTTGCATTATAATAAAAATAAACTATTAGAAAAATTATGTGCTTTCCTAGTAACTGCGAAGTATTTCTGGCAAACAATATTACCATAAAACGCATTTTATGTAAATACTTGAGCATTTGATTATTTTCGTAGCATGACAATTTTCGAAAGTGTATTTGTTTCCCACACATATGTTCCAGATTTTTCGGTTTTTCAGTTATATTTTAAATTACGTTATTCTGTTTGTTTTACATACCTAATTAGTAATTAGGTACCTACCATATTCTATTACCACTAACAAATTATCATAATTTATGCTTCTTGTACAAGAGGGATAGAGGTAAAAAAATTAAAAAAATTTCGGTGATCTTTTTGGGAACGCTTTAATTAGATTTGTACAGGGTGTTCGGAAATTACGTGTACATGGAGCCACCACAGCGTTACCTACATACCAACTTGCTTAGTTTGGTCGCTAGAGGTTCACAAAGTTAAATGAAAATATGTTTTTTCTTTAATATTCAAAATTAAGCTATTTTAAAAGATCAAACTTGTTATGAATACTAGGTGTTTTATGGCCAATTAAAAACAGCAGTAATATTGCGATCATAAGACACATTTTTTTTTAATTTTGAATCTGTCAGTTTTTGACATTTCTGGCATTCAAACAAATGAAACGCGGACAACGCGGTACTAAAGTTTGGTACGTCTAAAGGGTTGCGACATACTATGTAGTCTATCTACAATACGAGAAATCATAACTAATGGAATAAATTTAAATATTTTATGTCAAACCCAATGAAAATATTATTTAAAAAAAAATCGGTTATTTAATTTCTATAAATTACTCAAAAAAGTTACTTTGGTTTGATGTCGCTATAATCTACCCCTATCAAAAAAAGTCACTATTTTAATTTGATTTACTCAAATTTAAAAAGTGTAAAAATCTCAACTTTGAAGTTTTTTATGTTTACACAATTAACTATTGAATTTAATACTGTAACCGCCCACCCCTTTACCCCTTGATTTTTGTTTAAATCTGAAATTTTATTATTTACCTGTCAATTTTGTTTTACTATTGCTGCGTTTAAATATCCACATCGGATGCATCTGAGATGTAAATCTTTGATCACGTGATTCAGTATACGTAAATGTAGTACGACAGATGTGTCCGTTGTGGATAAACAAACGCTCGAGATGTAAAAAATGTATCGGATGTGGCTATTCAAAGGCAGTATTTAAATTCTATACTTCTGTATTTGACATTTTTCTTCTAATAGTAATAATGATCGTTTAGTTAATTAATTGATAACTTATATACCCACGTTGTGATAATATCAATAAAAATAAACTAGGATTCGATGCAAAGTTTGGTGAAAATTGGTAAATGAAACAATACAAATTTAAACACTTATATTTTTCATACTTGAAATGTCTTGTAATAATTTGCAAATTATATAACAATTATTGGTACTATTTACTGACATCTTACTCAAGTCTCGCTCAAACGCAGAACGTTAATTTGATATCAAGATATACAGTGCTTATTATTTTGTATTAGGCATAGTCGTGCTTTCACAGTAAACATGTTGCAACTACGACATCCCCACTATTGCACTCTGGTTTTGTCACCATAGTCACAGACATTCGGTTCAGCTAATAACCCACCACATTATCTTCTTATTCTAGTCGACGACTAGCTGATATCCTGTTTCGATTTTATTAACTTATATACTAGTCGTATGCCTAACACGAAAAAATAGGTACTGTATTTTATTTAACTTGATGACCAACTGAGTTAACGAACAGCGACAATCTGCCAGTTGTTGCTTAACTTACTGTGTTGATGTTTATATTTTATTTAGCTTGATTCTATTTTAGATATACTCAGCATTATATTTTCTTAGGTATTTATTTCGACGAATATAGAGGTGATGACCAATGGAGTTAACGAACAGCGCCAATCCGCCAGTTGGTTAACTTCTGTGTTGATGTTCACATATACTTTATGGTTCAAATCCAGTAAAATGAATGGCTAGTATAGATGCTTCCCTTGAGCTAACAGTGTCATTTCACTAGTGGGTTAACTTATTATTAAATTATGCCATCTAGATTTGTTTAGATATTTACCCAAAATAATACATCCTTGTATATTTCTAAAATATTATTATTTATAATTTCTATCGAAATTACTCAAAGTCACTCATAGAAAACATTATATGTTAACTGTCTTTCGGGATGATTTTCCAAAGGTCATGTGGTTAATTCGGTTACATTGATATTTTAAAACAAATATCAGACACTTGTTTAAACAGAACTTCGTGAGATCACAAAGAAAGTTACATTAACCTTTTCGACTCACCATTGAAAATACAAATACATACATTTAGTTCGTCTAAACTAAACATTATGTACCTACCAATTTTATCTAGCTTTCTGACGGCGTCGATTCTAGGTACTTTGCAGTGTTGAGCTTGCCTTGCGTCGAGACGCCTAGCACCGTGGCGTAGAGAAATGTATTTATTACGGTACGGCGTCGGGATGGATATGTTAGGAAATACTTAGGTGGTGAAGGACGTGACAGCGTTCGGCAGATAGATCGTCAGGACGTAGAACTCCGGGACGTACAAAGATGGGAAAGTAGAGCGGCGGGACGTTGAGCGTCGGGACGTGAAAAACGTTTGGGAGTCGTCGGGAACGTAGAACGTCGGGAGATAGGCGCCATGGTATGATAAGCATCGGTTAGGAAGAGCGTCGATTTAGAAAAGATACTGAATGCTGAACTTAAAATATAACTGAATTCGAAAAACAACTGAATTAGACTAAATTAAATATAATAATGACTTCATGGATACAAAATAATAATGAATGTTGAGTTCCTGTGAAAGGGTATTTATGCCTGTTTTAATGACTTTTTGACGTCAAATTGTCGTAGCTCCTGTGGGAACGAATTTATTTGGATAAAAAAGGGATGTTTGATTTATTACGTGCCTTGAGAAATTATCTGAATTTTGATTTGATATCATGTCGAAATCAGTGTTAATATTCGAAACTGACTTAAGATAAGCGCGTTAACTGTTTTTGTGATTAGTACTTCGTGAAAAGAAATATGTTTTATGAAGGTTTTTTTGTCGAATTCTCATGGGATTACTTTTTATCTCTTCTGTAATATAAGAGACACCGCGAATAGAAATATTGCTTTTATTTATTAGGCATCAAAGATAAGATTTAATTATCTAAAAAATTCTTCGTTAAATGAAAAATTTTGAATTTAAAAAGAATGCAACTTGTCTTTAATAAAATGGAATTAATAAATTTGAAAGTAACTGGGTGAGAAAAGATACAATTCCCAATCTTAAAACACTAATTTATTTTTGTTCAACTAAATGAATTAAGTAAGAATCAAGTTATAATAAAATTAAATTATTTAAGAATGGGATTCTTACTGGTTTACACTTAATTACAATCATAAAATCACGCCCAAAACAGGGTGCCGAAAAAAGAAAACTCCCTGAGAAAAGATGCTAAGTATAGTATCTTAAATCAGTCTTTGATGAGGTAGCATTAGAAAATCAAAACATTTTATAAAAATGGCTGTGAACACTTCTGTAGATTTAATTTCAGCACTAAAGCCCAATATAAAAAGTGAAAACAACTTTTAGATAATATATCGGCCCAGACAAGGTAGTGTTTAAAAAATATTTTGTACAAATTATAAATAAAATTATTTATTTTAGATTGATATTGACTATATTGACTCTTAACTCTAAAAATCTTTAGCTAAAGCTAAAACTATGAATTACAATAGGAGAAAAATATTAGTGATACAATAAATGATTAAGGAGTATATGACAATTATTGTAATATATGTACCTATTGTGGTA